CTACAGTTCTCTGCCAATGAAAAGACGGTATTTAATCATCCCTCTTTCCGCGAAGCATTTGAATGCACGTGTGTCAATTTTTCAATCAACTGACCACGCCTTCCGACCGCGAGGGGCTTCGCTTTCGTCAGCGATTATCCAGCTCCTAATAATCGGACATAAAAACAACTTACACCATTGTAACGAGGAGCAGCTGAACTTTTACAAGGTGTACGGCATTTGGTGTTTTATAGCGAAAGAGCAAAGAAACAGCGATCGGAATTACCCCGATTTCACCGATACCACACGGTCGGAAGGCCACGAGTGCCCGTGAGGCCGTGTTTTTAGTAAGTACAAAATACAACACCTATGTAATGAACGAATAACGCCAGATTTGTAATATTATGATTAGGAAAGTAATTATGGACTCTGGAAATGTGTACATAGATAAATAGCAAAAAAATCTCAAAATTCCCAACAAAAACACTGATTGTAATTTTAATCTTAGATTATCTTCAAAAAGGGCTCTATTTCAGTACAGGTCTCCTATGGATGTATATTGTGTAAAATAATGAAGCTATTCAGATGAAAAATAAAAGAGAAGATGTAATTTAAAGTCGGAAAAATAAATATTTGAAAAAAAATAAAGAAAATATTTTAAAACATTACCCAAAATTGCAAAACATTTTATAAAAACTCATTTTTGAATGACTTTGAAACATAATTGATTTAAGCGGATGCTCGAAACTTTGATGGAAATGGATGTAGGTTTCAAAAATGGAGGGGGGAAACTGTATGGTCAAAATGGGGAAAATCTCACACGCAAACGGCCTTAAGCAATTTAGGAATATTTCCAGTTCGCACATTTTACAGTCATATTTTTCTTTTACTTTTATGGTATCGATCCACTTGTATGTCTTTATAATTTTTGTTCCGATATTTAGCTTCCCTCCTGTTTGCTGATTCGCTCATCAAAGCAGGGGAAGAACTTTGTACAGCTTCTTTCCATTTTTACTTCTTTACCAGCCCAAGAACAAACCTCCAGCCCGCTTCAGACATCTGCTCAGTATATGGGACAGGAACTACTGTATCAAGTCGGAGTCCCCGTGCAAAGAAGTACAACCGTCACAGGCGGAGAGGTTGTCCTTGCGCAATGAAGAAAGGACAGTGAAGGTTAAGTTGTTCCAGAAAAGTCCTGCCAAGAGACAAAGAGGTTAGAATCTTGGAATGATTTTAGTTCCATCTTTCATTGTATGCCAAGTACCCTAAGAGAACATGAAAGAGAAAGACGTTCTTCTTTTAGTAAAATTTGAGATTAAACAAGTTTTTGTATAACAATTCAATTTTTCGCCTTTGAAAGTGCCTTTTTCGCCTTTGAAAGTGCCTTATTTGGTTTGTGAGTTTAAGATGTTTCTGTTTTGTCGGGACTTTGTGTCCTCTTGTTTACTCCGCCAGGGCACTGCCCTTGACAGGATTTTTTCAGATAATCTAGCTTGTGTCTCCTTTTTTGTTTTACATATGTTGTGTTATGAAAATAGTTAACTAAAAGTAGAACTTGTAAACATGGAGCCTTTGGTGGGGGGGGAAGGGCAGGTAAACTCAGTCTGTGGTCACAATTGAAGCAGTTTTATGCTGTGAGACCCTGGATATTTTCACGTACAATAATGTATGTCTCCATATGACAAACATGTAGGCACACAGGAAAGCAGTCGTATTTGGAAACAAAAATGAAAACATGCAAGAGAGGCTCGCTAACTGCCCTAAATTTCCCTAGACTCCCAAATTTAGCAGTCTGAAGTTTTAGCTGTGACAGTAACTTTACCACATATACTACAGGGAAATACCAGTCTGGCATGATGTAATTTTGTTCGTTGTTGTGCAATCTTTTATAACTTCGGGTGTCCCTGATTGGGTTTGGTAAAATATATGTTGGTAAACATGACACATTTTGTACAAGATCAATACTGCCTAGAAGGAAAAAAAACTTACAAGTTGTAAATATTTGTTGATTGTTGTGTGTTTGTGAGGACTGATTACTGAGTTTAATCAGTCCCATGAGGGAGGGTCTCTTGGGTTTTGTTGGGGGGGGGGTTTTTGTGTTGTTTTGGGTTTTTTTGCTTTTTAAAAAAAATAATTTTTATAAAATGTTTTCATGTAAATGCTTTTACACCTCCTTCAACGCAAGTTCTTTCCATCATTTAGGAGGCAGGCTTGGACCATTATGAAATGTCATTGTTTATCTTTTTATGCACGTTTGGATGCATTCTTGTGTGTCGAAGCTGTAAAAGTAAGACTGCAGTGCCTTGACTTTTGTGTCTGTTTGTTTCTCATTACAGATCCCTCTAACTCAAGAGACAAGAGTGTTGTGGGATCTGATGCGAAAAGAATGAAGCACCTTGAGGTGGACGATATTCTGGGTATGCTCGATCAAGACGAGAACGTGGACACTTCTCTGAATGACGGTCATGCCAGCCCCCTGGGGGAAAAGAAACTTTTGAGTGAAAGCCTTAGCAATGCAGACAGTGACCGAGGGTCATGGGAGAGTGAAGATGAGAATGAAGATATTTTGTGTCAGAAGAAACATAAGAAAGGACTGTCTGCCATGAAGCAAGACTGGGAATCAAAGGAGGCGCTTGGATTTATAAAACATAATGTGTTTGCAGTCCCAGCTGATGCTCCCAAAGCTCCAAGGTTCAACATAAATGCCACTGTTGAGCGAGTGGAGGTGAAAAGTCGGTGAGTCACAGCTGCAGGTTTTTATTTTTTATTTGGGTCTGTAAGGTTCATCTCTACAGTTTTGTCTACTGTCCTCCACGGGTGTCAAACTCAAGGCCGGCCGGCCACATATCTTACCCACGAGAGAATTTTAGGTGGTCCACCCTGAGATTCTTCGTAACACAGAACCTTACTACTCCAAACATAACACAGTACCTTACTACTCCAAACATAACACAAAACCTTACTACTCCAAACATAACACAGAACCCAAATATAACTAAGAACCTTACTACTCCAAACATAACACAAAACCT